TTTTTTTTTTGTCAAAACGTCCTGAAAACTGAAACGTTTCGGCGAAGGTGAGTTTTAGAAATGTAGCAGGATTTCTGCTCTCATGGAGCTGAACTCTTACTCACAGAAGTGAGGGCTTGAGTGGCGCTCTGCATTGGTCTTCAGAGGATTATATGTAGTGCTCAGATGAGAAGGCGACCATAGCAGGAAGCCATGGCCCGATGGGACCATTCCCAGCTTTTCCGGGTTCGGTAGGGTAGGTTTGTGGTGGACTGTATGTGAGAGTTCTGAGAGAAACACGGAGTGCTGCACAGACGGGAAAACCACGCTGGTGTGTACTCAGTGCTGCAGCCACATGGAAGGGGCTGCTGGGATATACAGTTATATAAACAGAGCTTGTTTGGGCTACAAAAAACTGAGCTTCCTTGTGTCCTGGTAGTTCAAGCTCCAAAGTTTGCATTTGTAAGGCTTGTCATGGTAAAGCTAGCTGTACCCACATTGAATTTGGCTAGTTAATCTTCAGTAATTTGCTATTTCCAGATGAAGTCAAGATGGGAGTTTTCTTCTTGTGGCTGTGTGAAACACTTGGTGTCAGTCAGTGTTTTGTCTCACAGGTGACTGGATTTCAGCCCTGGCAGGAGAAGTGTTTGCTTCTTTAGGCTGAGCAGATAGGAGCTCTAAAATGTTAAAGTAGTTGAATGCTTTCTATTGTAAGAACTCAGCTGTAGAGGTTTCTAAGACATTCAGGTAGGGTTAACTTAAGTGGCTTTCTGACTTTGGTTTTTCTGACCTTGTGGGCTGCAATTCTTGATTCTGGTTGCCTCCCTCAAGGCTGAGCATTTTTGAAAGGCAACAACAAAGAACTTCAAAACAACAAAGACAGTGAGCAATATGAGTGAATCTTGAGTTGTGGTTAGGTAAGATCTAAGCAACCTTGCTCTTTCTTATTTGTATTTAGCAATTGCTGCTAACCTTCCCACCAGGCCTATGGAGCCACAAGGGATTGTCAAAGCCTTTCCCAAGAGGAAGAAGGTGAGGGATGACTCGGAGAAAAGCATCCCTCCAAAGATCTCGAAAGAGGAAGGAACAGAGATACCTGAGGGTAAGTCCTGTGTCCCTATGATGTGGGATACAATACTTACACCCAATGTGTTAACTGCAAGGGCTATTCTCCAAAGGCTTTTTCTGGCTTTCAGTGTGCTTTCTGTAGTGGTCATGGCCAGTTTGGTTTGGTGTGTCCAGCTGGAGCCCCCCAAAGACTGCCTGCCAAGGCTGGTGCCATCAAGTCCTGTGTGAAAGACGTAGCCCTGCTGGGCTGGGGCACTTTCTCTTGTCACTGTGCCCCTGTGCTTTCCTCAGCAGAGTGGCTGAAACCAGTCATCGCCTATGTGTTGCAAGCCGGCATTGGGCAGACCAGGGCCGAGATCTTCCGCAGGCAGATCGTCCAGAACGGGGGTATCGTTCACAGGCAGCTCTCCTCGGAGGTGACACACGTCATTGTGGCTGAGGACATGGACTGTGAGCGCGCCTTTCGGCTCCTCAGATTGACCAAGCTGCGCCCGGGGCTGCAGCTGGTGAAGGCAGCCTGGCTTAGTGCTTGCATTAGGGACCAGAAGCTGCTGAGTACTGCTGGCTATGGTGTCTTTATCCCTCACAGGTATGCAAATGCCACACTGCCATTCCTCCCTGCATTTCCCCTATCCTGAACTGTACAGCACTACAATTTGACCTCTGCTCAAAATCTTGGACTGCAACTCCTTGCAGCTCCTGTGAGCATGATTCAAAGTTCTGTGTGGTAGCAAAACATGTAATAGGGCCCAGAAGTACCACCAGAAGTCCTGTCACTTGTCACAGGTGCTAAAGACACCTCTTCCTGACACATCAGTGATAACCAGTTGTCTCTTAAAAATACAGATAATTAAATACTGTTTCCTACTTATTGCAGATGAAAGGTAGAAAGAAATTGGAAACTAGGCACAAGAGGAAATTAAGAATGGAGCAGCAGGCACAGATTAGGATCAGAATGTTTTGGCAATGTTTTGAAGAGAGAGTCTAAGAGTGAGGTAGGTAGGAGTGGAAGTTGCAGGTCAGCAAGGTAGATGTTAACTGGGGAGTTGAGCTAAAACCAGAGTAATTAATCTGTGATCTGAGAGAGTACAATTCATGTGGGTTGTTTGGTCCATCCCAAAACATGCAGAAGGATTTCTTGGTCAAACTTCTGGGGGTTGAGAAGTCCTCCTTCTGCTGTACTGAGACATCTGGTCCATGGCAGGTACCTGGAGGAAGAGGAATTGCAGAAAGAACAGCAACAGATCCCGGACAGAGGAAAAATCCAGCTGCCAGCAGAGGAGGGAGCATCAAAACAGAGTACTGAATCCCAGGTGGAGGATTCCTCACAGCGAGGCTTGGGCACCCTTGGGCAGCAGCAACTGGCTGAGGTGAGACTTTCCTGCACAGACCAATCTCCTTGTGAGCAGATCTGCATGCTGCTTTTCCTGGCTAAGAGCATCCCTGAAGGATACCATGTGAGATTTTCTCAGTGAAGGGAAAGTGTTTGGATGTTCAGTGAGCCAGACTCAGCCTGTGGACATGATTACTGCTACTCTTTGTCCTTTTTAGGTGTTAAGAATAGAAACAGCACCCCTAAACTGTTAAATCAACATTTCCAGCTGAAACAGTCCTGGTGCTCTGATAAGGCCAAGGCTCACTACTTACTTATATATACTCACTTATGTCCTTTTGAGGAATATTCCCTGTCTGAGAATATCTTCTTTTCAGGAAGTTGTCTCTGATATTTCATCCCATGTTCCTGCCTGAGTCATATGGACCAGTTCTCCACTCCTTGGCAAACACCCTGTTCAGACACATGTTTGTACAGTGGATCAGGTTGCTACCAGAAGGATCGTGGAGGTGTTCTTAAAATATCTGTGTTGGGTTATTAGTGGCTTCTGCCGTGAGTCAGCTTCTGTGGCCTGCTGTTAGCTTTCCTGCCTTTCTCTGTATTTTTGCTCAGATTTGCTGAATTTTTCTTGGGCATTCATGTCATTCAGATCTATCTGTAGCAAAGTTACCTCAGATATCCCCAGCAGCTGCCTTGTATTGCTGGCATCTGTTTTGCAACACAGTCCAAAATTTTGTTACCCAAAGCCTGCAATTGCTCTCTACCTGGCAGCTCACTGAGGGCACAAAAGCCACATTTATGGACATTTCAGTAAAGTCCCTTGTCCCAAGCTTAGATCTGTGTGACTTGGGGACGAGTGGGATATGCTTTAAAGACAATACCAACCACTTGAGACCCATCTACAACAATAAAGTTGAAACTTTGTTTAGAAGTAGCTTTAAAGCACAGTGTCTTTTCTAGCTTGGGTGGATGTCTTTTTTTTCTCCAGGAGATGATGGGTGTCAGTTTTTTGTACTAAACAGAGACTAATCTGGGAGTTCTGCCTTTGGATGTAAAATCCTGTGAGGAGATCCTGTTGCAGTCAGACTAGCAACCACTTTTTGACTGGCATCTAGATGCAGTAGTTCTCTGCAAGGCAGCCTCTGTAAGCAGTGCCAGTTACTCTCTGTGAGCCCAGAGCTGTCACCCCAGGCTGCCTGTCTCCCTCCGAAGTAGCCTGTTGCTACTAGTTGGTTTTGCACATGTGGTTGTAAAGAGTCCATCAGCTTTGCTGATGAAGTGTAGAGAGTTTAAGGGCTGTTTCACCTCTGTGACGCTGCTGGCCAAGAGGATGGGAATTACTTCCAGCTCCAGCTGCAGAGTTGTCTGTGCTGTGAAGGGCTAGCATGCTCCTTTATATGCTTTTAAGGGGCTTACTGACTTATCTGAGCCTTCTGAGGCTTTGCTGCCCTTAGAGAGAAGAGCGTCTCAAGGGAGTTGCATTTCAAGACAAACTGATTAAGTCTATCAACTCTTCAATCTTACCCAGTTTTCAGAGTTACAAAACTAAACTGCAAAACACATCCCATCTGTGTGTCTCCAGACCTTCTACCTCCTCAGCCAGCAGAACCAGAGGTTGTAAGGATGTGGCTCTTACTTAGGCTCACACTCTGCCGAAACTCATAACAGAGCATGGTGTGCTGCATGTAATTGCTGGACTGATCTCAAACAACCCTGCATCATTCAGAGTTACTTCCACAACACAGAAGCTCTTGGATCTTCATAGACTATCTGTTTATACATCAGGGGAGATGATCAGTGAGCAAAGCAGTCTACAAATAGTCTCTGTGCAGCTTTCCACTTCTATCCCCTTTTGTTCATTACCTGAAGCTGAGGCTCATTGTTTCTTAAGTCTACACAGAGGCATCTTAATGCTGAGGGTATCAGCAAATGCATACATTGGTTCTTTCTTCTGTCACTGAGGAATGTGGAGTCCTTTGTGTCATTCCTTCCTCCCCCTTTTCTCTTGCAGATAGCCATGGGGAAAATGAGGGGGTTTAAATTTACTACTTTTGTTAAGATTTTTGTGTCTGTAAACTGAAAACAAAGTTCAGTGCCTATCTGCTGTCATGGGGTAGAAGTTTGCTGAGTCTGAATGTGAGAGATGTGCCTATGCTGCCACCAGACGAGCTAAAGGTTTCCCAGTGGGAATAGGGAGTCAGCATCTCTGCCAGCCAGGGATTTTGGCATTGTCATACCTTGCTGCTGGCAGCAGTTGCTCACTTACTCAGTGTCTTACCTCAGTTAGGGGCTTGAATCACAGGTAGACAGCAGTATAGTCTCCTGTGCAGTGTGAGATGTGCATGTGTAGCTTGAGGTGTGAGGAACTGTGGTGTGCATGTAACCAGTCACTTCTAGAGGTGGCAATTGGAGCGTGGCATGCCCAGGAAGGAGGGTGGTTAGTGCTTTGGCTTCCTAATCTCAGAAGTAGCTTGTGCCAAGGGGATATATGAGGCATGCACTTATTCTCACATGGCTGCTTTCTGATCTTTCCCTAAAGAAATACTCTGATGATGAAGACAGTGAAGGAGAAGATGCTGGTGTCACCCAGGGAGATCTGGAAGCATTGATTTCTGGCCACTACCCTGTGAAATCATCAGAGGAGATCAGTGACAGCTCTTACACAGTGGCCCAGCCTCCCAGCAAGTGGGTTTGTGCCCAGTCTTCCAACACCAAGAAGGAAAATCACAACCAATGCATCACAGAGAAGCTGGAAGTGCTGGCAAAGGCTTACTCTGTCCAGGGGGACAAGTGGAGAGCTCTGGGCTACTCCAAAGCAATCAATGCACTCAAGAGCTACCACAAGCCAGTCACCTCCTACCAGGTAAAACACCTCCCTGGGGGAGTGGAGCAGGGAGATAGACCTTTGATGGAAGTTGCATAGCAAGTGCAAGTTGAGAATTATTGACCACACACAGTGTTTGCAGAAGAGTAGAAAAATGGAATCTGAGCCTTTTAGGGTGTCCAAATGTGGACACTCTCAAGATAAATGCCTTCCTTAGACACAATGCAGGGGTCATTTTCACTTTCCTCTTCATTAACAGCAACTGGCCATTGAAAGTGATAATATGTAGAATGAAATGTATATGAGTCTTAGGGGCTGTGGCAGTCCAGCAGTTCGGTGTGTTCATGTTTCAATCCCATTCTGCAGGCTTGTCCTTTTCCCTTGAATTGATCAGCCAAGGTAAGCCTGGGCTAGAGAGGAGACCATCAGGCAGGACTAGTCCTACCACTTACCCTTTACTCATCAAATGAATAACCAGGCTCTGAGTCAGTAGCAGCTCCCCAGCTTGTCTGTGATCTTTGCTTTTCCAGTAGGATCTCTGGTTTCTTTCTAGGAAGCCTGTAAAATCCCTGGGATTGGGAAGCGGATGGCAGAGAAGATCCTGGAGATCTTGGAGAGTGGGCACCTGCGCAAGCTGGATCACATCAGTGAGAGTGTGCCTGTGCTGGAGTTATTTTCCAACATCTGGGGAGCAGGGGTCAAGACAGCTCAGATGTGGTACCAGCAGGTAAGTCCAGTGCCTTGTACAAGAGGCTCTCAGGTTGTGGTTTGAAGGCTGCTGCTGAGTGTAAGAGAATTACTTTCACAAATAGGTTTTAGTTGCCAATACTTACAGGTAAGATTTAAATCTGGGGTTTTTTGGGAGGAACTATGAGGTTGGGTCCCATTGTGTCTCAGCACCCAGCTGAGACTTTAGTTGTGCTGGGGCAGGTAAAGGACAAAGATGTGGGGAAGAAGAATGGTAGACATGCTGCCGCTGTTCTAGCATCACTTCTTGGAGCTCATGTCATGCTAGTCATGGCATTGATGTTGCTGAGAGCCAGGCTTGAATCAGGGCATCTTGGCCATGAGAGCTCCTGATGAAATTGCTGGCTGTTGACCTGTAGCTGTCAGAGTAGCCATTCATCATTTCTGGAAGCTACAAGAATCAGGTTGAAATAATTGTGCCAACAGGAGCAGCCCAGTCCACCGGGTGGGTTCCTTGTTTAAAAGCAGTTCATCTTCTGAACATGAGCTAATGAAGCCTGGTTTCCTGTAGTGTTTGGTTTGTGACTGGATTCTTGACTGTCTTAAAAATACATTTGTGTTCATGCTGTCAGCTTTTCCCTCATTGGGATGTTGTGGGTGTTGTTCTTAAGAGCAGTAGCCTTCTGTGAGAGGAGGTGGAGATTAGAGGTGTGCATGGATAGTGCAATTGCCTAAATCCCTTCTTCTAGGAACCAGGTTTTAAAGTGTTCTTTACATGTGATCTCAGAAGCTGTGACTTGGCCTGAAATTGAGGCAGGCTAAATACAGTCTTCCCAAATCTTGGTGGAAGGTATGTGAAGAGCAAAGTCTTGGTAGATGTCTGAATGTCAGCATGTGGTCTGCACTAGGGTTTCCGGACACTGGATGACATCCGCACCAAGGCCACTCTGACCAGGCAGCAGGCTGTGGGGCTGAAGCACTACACGGATTTCCTGGAGCGCATGCCTCGGGAGGAAGCTGCAGAAATAGAGCAGACTGTGAGTAGCTTGGCTTAAGGCCCTCAGAGTGCAGTACCTGCTGGGACATGACAGGAAGGTACATTCTGTGAAAATAGCCCTTGTGTTATAGCTGAGCTCTTCAGCCTCTCCTCTGAGGGGGGTCAGTGCTTGGGGGACCCTTTTTGGGCATGCACACACAAGGCCCCTACCTTGCTGCATAAGAAAGTTCAGTCTGAGTGCCTGGCAAGGAGGAGGATACTTCACAGGGGTCAGTCCTACACACTGCTTTGAAGAAGGCTGCATGTGGCATGGTGGGATAAGCAGGTTCCTAGCTCTGCTTCCTTGCCTCTCATCATGTCTGGAATGTTTACTTTCAGCTGAGGTGTCCCTGGTGCTGCTTCTTCAAAGGAAGCTGTGAGCACCTTGTGATCTAGTTGTCAGTTAGAGAACAGAGAGTGGATATCCTTGGTGGAAGCAAAGGGGATCCAGGCTGCAAACGAGTGCTGCTTGCTGTAGAATGCTGTGGCACTCCATGACTACGGGGTGCTAAGCCAGTGTACCCTAATGTGAGCAGAGAGCTTGGGGGACACATCGTCATTGCTACCCCTGTGCTCTCCAGTCACCATGGAAGCAGCAGCCAGTGTGACCCTGTCACTCGGCCACAGGGCCTGGCCATGAAGAATACCTTCCTGCCAGGCTCCTGCTGGGGTGTCAGTCCTGTGTGCCGGATTAGCCATTTTGGTGGTGAGTGGTCCCTTTCCCAGGCAGGCTGGGCTGAGGAGCTGGCTCTTGGGAGTGGGTCTATTGTTATCTTGATGGGATTACTGTGCTTCCCTCCATACACACGCACACACCTCTGATCCAGGCCCTGGAGAGAAAATGAGGGATTAGTCACTGTCTGTGCTGCCTGTCACAGTGAGATCTGAGGAGCTTTTAGGCTCTCGGGTGGGGCTGGGAGTTTTCTAGAAATCTTCATTTAAAGCCAGAAGGGGGGCAAAAACACCAGAGGAGGGCTTGCTCCGCATGAGAAAGGCTTGTGGCTTCTTGGAGCACCTTTGGGGCAAAGGTTAATGGGTTTATCTCTTGCTAATGAAGGATGATCCCCAAGAGTGACAAGGGGCTGTGGGCACGGACACTGCCTTGCTGAACCCCAGCCTCTGTGATGGCCCCATCACTAGGAATTGCTGAGCCCCTCATTATTTGCTGCCAGCAGGGTGATTGGCACAATCAGGCCAAAAATACTTTAGGCCTGTCAGGGACTTGGGAGCCTTTTTTAAACATGTGGTGAATGAAGCCATCAGAGTTAGCACTGTCTGCACAAAACAGGAGTGGGGATCCAGCTTGGAGAAGACTGTAATAGGGGAAGTTCTTATTATGTGTTTGATTGCTGGCAGCAGCATTTTGGCATCCCTTTGGTTTAAAATGCTGGGACAATTGTGTTTTTTATGGGTCTGGAAGTCCTGCTCTCCTGCAGAGGCAGAGCTCCTTCCAGGAGTGAACTCCAAGGACTACACACAGATTTTCTGCTGTGTTGGATCCTGCTGGGGAGACATCACGAGCCCATGCCTGTTTTTGAAACGGCCTGTGACTATCACCTGTTGAACTGATTTGCTTTGTGGGCAGAGCTAGTGAGCCTTGTGCTTGTAGGACAGCTGAAAAACCTCTTCTCTCATGCCATCTCAGAAACTAAAGGCTCTGAAAGCTTGTGCAGTACTTTGCCCCTTCATATTCCTGCTTGTCCCAACCCAGTGCTCCCAAGAGCTGACTGTTGATCACTATATGGTGTGGCATTGTGCAGGATGTTTGCAGGGCTGGGTGGAGGCCTCTCTGGCTCACTCCTCCCCTGACAGCAGGCCAGCCTTCTTCAGTGTGCCATGCCTGCCAAGTGTATGCAGACTCTAGAGATGCAGGATAGGCCTCAAGGCAGGCACGAGATCCTTTGCTGCTGCAATGGAAAGGGCATGAAGAGGCTGGCCTCTGACTCCTCATCCCTCTTTCTCGAAGGTCAGACAAGCTGCCCTGGCCCTGAAGCCTGGCCTCGTGTGTATTGCGTGTGGCTCCTACCGTCGGGGGAAGGCCACGTGTGGAGATGTGGATGTGCTTGTCACTCACCCAGATGGGCAGTCTCACCGTGGGGTGTTCAGCAAGCTGCTCAACAGCCTCCGCAGGAGCGGTAAGAGGGCGGGGAAGCTGCTCTTAGAATGGCGAGGAGGCAATGAGCTGGATGGCATTCATTGAAGGACAGGTGATCACTTCTGCCAAGGATGGGACATCTTATTAGCGTTTAAAATTACTGTCCCTGGACCTGGTTCAACTGTAGCTTTAAGGAGAGAATATTGCTGCAGCTCAGCATGTTATCCCTGGGATCCCACAGCTGGTTATGAGACATCTCTGCTGCTCTCTGGGCAGCGGGGAGTTCAGCACGGAGGTGTCTGTCTACCACTGAGCTCCTCTTGGCCTGTTCTCTCTTCCCAGGCTTCCTTACAGATGACCTGGTGAGTCAGGAGGACAACGGTGATCAGCAGAAGTACCTGGGCGTGTGCCGCCTGCCCGGGCCAGCGCAGCGGCACCGCCGGCTGGACATCATCGTGGTGCCGTACGGCGAGTTCGCCTGTGCCCTGCTCTACTTCACGGGCTCGGCTCACTTCAACCGCTCCATGCGCGCCCTGGCCAAGACCAAGGGCATGAGCCTGTCGGAGCACGCGCTCAGCTCGGCCGTGGTGCGAGGCCCCGGGGGTGCCAAGGTGGCATCTGGCCATACTCTGCCCACGCCCACCGAGAGAGATGTCTTCATCCAGCTGGGGCTGCCTTACCGGGAGCCCTCCGAACGGGACTGGTGATGCCTGCTTGTCACCTTGGGCTTGCTGCTGTGCTGCTGTTTTGAAGGATTTGATTTCCCCCGTGGTGGAAAGGCTCTGTGGTGCCTGCAGGCTGAGGGACATATCCCAGCAAACTGGGGCTCCTTGCAAGCATGAGGCCTGGCTGCTGGGCAGAGCTCTGTGGCTTCCTCAGCTGAGGCTGAGGGCTGGAACCACGCTGGAAGTGCTTTCCTGGTGTTGCTACCAAAAGGGCTCACTGCCCATCAGCTACCCTGATCCTGCTGTCCCCAACTTTGGAAAATTGGGTTGCAGAACCTTGTGATCCAACCCCTGGCAGTGCTTGGGAACAAAGGAAGTGGGATGCATCTTCCTCTGTATCTGAGCACTGATGCTCTGAAATTTCTGTTCTGAGCTGTGAATGAAGGTAGCAGAGGTTAGCTTAGTTCTGTGACAGGCCTTCCTCACTACTGCTGGCAGCTGCTACTGCAGGAGTCTCAAGGGGTTAACCTGTGCTGCTGCTGTGTCCTTATGTCTGAGCTGATGTGTCCTTCGGTGGGTCCCATTGCACAGGGCCAGCTGCTGTTACTGCCACCAGCTTTCCCTGGTGCCAGCTAAACCTTGAAAGAGGCATAGGGACCTGAGGTGCTATACCTACTTGCTCCCAGCCTTGTGTTCTGAGGATCCTCCAGATTTACTCAGAGCCCTGGTCTGGCCCAAGACCTCCTTGGTGTAGGAGAGGAGCAGAGCTCACAGCTTGTGGAGCTGTGCTCAGGTGGGATTTGAATGTAATAGCACTGAATGTAACCCAGCAGCGCTGGGTGTGTCTGTCTGTAGGAGGTATGGAGACAGAAACACAAGGAGATAGTTAAGTTCTAACTGGGGCAAAGCAAAACCTTTTCCCATTTTTTTGTGTGGAAGCCATGGAGTCATCTGGTCTTTGATCAGGGAAAGTGTGTGTGTGTGTTTGTGTATACATGTGCGTGTGGCTGGTCCCACCAGTTCCACGGGAGTGAATTTTATTTCTCAGGAACCATTGACTACATTATATTGTGGAGATGAATTTCCCAGAGACATTGAGTGTTCTGTCTGTTACAAGTATTGCAGTGGTTGCTCCTGGCAGAGGTGCTAGGTGGGCAGTTCTGTGCCAGGACCCAGGGGCTCTTGCTCCCTCGTGGGGGATCTGGCCCCATCACGTACAGGGACAAAGCTGCATGTTTGCTGCTAGAGCAGGCACAAACCAGGTGGGTTTGCACAGTTCCTGTGACTGCTGGGCACCAGCAGGGCTGGGGCTTTGCTGGGGTGGCCCACACCCCAGCAGTGGCATTTGTGAATCCAGCCTTTCTGCTGGACACCTGAGGGAAATGAATGTCTTTTGGCATGTCTTGGTGCTTTGAAATTTGAAGTGTAATAAATAAATCCCTTCTCTCTTTTCCATTGGTATCTCTTGTCTTTTTGCTCTCTGCACTGTGACTGTTGGGTCTTTATCCTTTGGCTTATCAGGAGCTCCTCCTATGCTGGTCCATTTCTCTGGTTTCAGTGGAGGTGGAGAATACACAGCGGATATATCATACTGTTGGACCAGGACTTCTGGCTCTCAGGCAGGGAGCTGCTGGCCACCATCCTCCCATACCATCCTCTGTCCTGGCATCCAGCTGGCCACGTGGCTGAGCTGGGATTGGCTGTTCCCTGACTCAGAATTCTTGAGCTCTTGGGCTCTGAGCTCTTCAGGTGTGGAGTCAGGAAAAGATTGCTGTCAGGTTTTCCATATGCATCAAACAGTATGGCATGTGAGAGTTGGCTGCTGTTCTGTCTCCTGTTCTCTGCCTGGAAAGCAGCTCAGAGTCCTGAGCATGGAAATGCTTTGGTTATCCAAGGGGAATCTGAACAACCTGGGAGCCAAGGGTGCACATGGAGATGAGCAGCAGGAATGATTGGGTCGAAAGGGAGATGGAGAAGCTGGAGAAGGACAAGGGCTGCTGAGGCAGAAGCAGCCAGAACTGAGATGGGTTACCCAAGAGCAGAAGGGAGGCAGCCTCAGACCAGGGAGAGCACTTTGACCTCAGGAGGGCTGTGCAGCCCAGGGACCACTCCTCAGGAATAGGGGTCCCCATCCTTACAGTCAGCCAGCTTTGCCTGGGCAGCACAACATCTGGCCTTGTCCAGGGGATAGTCCTGTCCCACAGGGAGGTTAGGTGGGGAGGCTGCCTGACATCTGACAGGCCATGGGCAATTTTCTGCCTGGGCTTAGACAGGGACAATGCAGGACTGCTCAACTTTTTGCTTTGATAAGCACTGGATGCCAGGGCAAGCTCTTCCTGGAGGGCTGGGGCTGCTTCTCAGTGGGGTCGTGTGCTGAAGACATCAGTAGTGGTATGGGAAATAGGGACTGCTGGCCCCCAACTCATGTCCTTTTGTCACTCTTCCTCCAGGGCTACAGCTCACACCCAGGTAGCAAAGGGGTGCTGCAACAACCCCTGACCTTGCCGTTTGTCCTGCTTTTATTTAGGGAGAGGCTGGACTTGGAGATGTGTGGGGCCAGGGCTCCACAGGAGCAAGACTTCGTGCCCAATCCCTTGGGAAATGCCAGGGAGGGTGGCATACATGTGTGATGTAGAGGCCCCTGGAGCAGAAATCCCACCAGTCCCCTGCTCTGTGAGGGAATAAGCTTGATGTCTGTCTGTCCTCTCCCACCCCACAAATCCCTGCCCAGCAGCTTTGGAGGGGGCAGAGGGCCCTCATGTGGCTAACTGTAGCCAGGTGGGCCACAGATGGATAAGGACCATTTCTTCTGGGTGTAGCTGTGGGGGTTGGAAGGTGCAGGAGGTAAAGGAGCACAAGGAGCTTGTCCAGAGCAGCTGGAGGGTGACATTTCTGATGCTGCTTCTCCCTCATCCTGGTTCAAGGGGAGAAACATGAGAGACTGGGCTGGGCCACTGTGAGTCTGCCCTGGACAGAGGGGACAGAGCTGCCCCATACATGTTCCTCTCTATGCCTCTAATCCCTGCCTTGCAGCAGAGCCTGACCACCCCTTATCACAGCCCACCTCCTGCCTCTTCTAAACCACAGCATGCCCCACTTGGGGAGAAGGTCCAAGGGGTGGGACCCCTGGGGTGTCTGGGAAGAGGTGGGGGCTGAGTTGCCAGGGTCCGTGGAGGCAGGGAGAGCAAACATGGTTTTAGGCATCTCTAAAGAGGTTTTGCCTAGTTTCTGCTTCCCAGGAAGGGTCTTCAGCTATTTCCCCCTCCCCAGCACACCCCCTCCCGCTCTCCCTGGCTGTGAGTCTGATCATCCTGAAAATTAAAAATAAAACAAAATGCAGCAAGCAGCACTTAGAGAATGAGTGGAAAGTCGTGGAGCTGGGACAGGCCCTCAGGTTTGCTGCAGAGCCCCTTGCTCTCATCCTGCCATCCCTGTACCCTGAAGGTGAGTCTAGACTGGGGTCTCAGGCAATTCCTGTCCCCCCAACAAGCATCTCCTTGCCTCTCTCATTGAAAAGGAAGAAAAGCTCTGGACAAAGAAAAAGCTCTGGGCATTGGGCAGCCCTTCCCACCCTGCTCCCTATCCTGTGGGAAGGACACCCATCCTTAGCCGTCCTGCTCATCCTGGTGCAAGGATGGGAGGGGGCTGGGGGAAAGGGGTGCAGGGAGGGTAGTTTGGCCTCCAACTCTGGCACTTTGTGTTCATGAGTAAATATTTACTAATGGCAGCATGGCTGGGTGAATGTAGGGGAGCTGCTGCTCCCCCCCGTTGGAGCAGGCAGGGAAATGAATATGAATTTATCATGATTAGGTGAACTCAGCAGGGAGAGCAGGAGAGAGAGGGCTAGGCAGGGAGGGGGCGGGCGAAGATGGATCTGTGCAATAAAATTAAATAAGGACACCAAATAGAGTCACTTCTCACACACTCGCCCGCCCTCCTGCGTGCAGGGCCTCTCCTGCCTCCTGCGCTTCTCTGGCTTTGCTGATTTCTCTCTTTCCTCGAATTTATGAGGCCAATTATGAAGATGAGGTTGGAAGTTCTCAGAAGTTCACTAAATGCAAAGTGTGGTCCCTGCTGTTCCCATCAAATTAATTAACCAAGCGCTATTGATGGCCGGGGTGACGTCGGCGTGGTGCGGAGCTTGAGGGAAGGACTGCTGGGGTGTAGCTGAGGAAGCCTGGCTGGAGAAGGCCTGGAGGGCAGAGCACCCTGCAGGGCATCCTCAGGGCCAGTGGGTGCAGAGTGAGCCCTGCCCGGGCAGCCAGTGTGCAACAGGAGCAAGGAATGCAGCAGGGCATGCATCAGGTCCTGGTGTGATGGTTTGTATTGCACTCCCTGTTTCCAGCAGTTTCTTCTGTCTGGAATAAGATCCAGCTGGGTGATGGCAGAGCTGTCCTGATGGGAACACGGCATGGATACATGGCAGGATGCTGGCCATGTTCTGTAGAGGATACCATGGTAGTGTCCTGTGGTCTGCAGGAGCCTGTGTCTGCAGGAGCAAAGCCAGGAATCAGTGCTCAGTCGTCCCCCGACCTGGTGAAGGGATTGTGACCCCAGTACCATGGGAGTGGTCTGCACAGGGGCTTCATGCTTGATAGACAAATGACTTTCCCTATGGCTCAGCAGTGATGGTGCAGCAGGGACAGACCTACTGCCACCTTCCCCTGCTCCCTGAGTCCCAGCAGCCCTCCCTGCCTCAGTTTCCCTGCATGGGCTATAGGAAACAGCCTGCCTTGTAGGATCTCATGAGCAGAATGTCCTGATTCTACATAGCCCTTTGGCCATCCCTAACCTCTGTGTGAAGCCTCCCAACTCTGTGCAGGGCCCAGGGTGCCAGTGAGTGCCTTTGCCATGGGGGCAGCAGCCATGTACCTGGTCACACCGGCTCTCATGTGCCTGGCTGTGTCAGTGTCATGTCACCCCCTAACAGGGAATGTGTTTTGGGGGGCTGTGTCCAACATGATGCCTGTGCCTGCTCTGTCCCATGGTTCACTCACTGCAGGGAAGGTGCTGCAAGGGCTGCTGCAGATGGGGGTTGTGTGTCCCCAGTCTGCTCAGGTGCAGGTCAGACACTGGGCACAGGGCTCCTCCTTTGCCTACCTGGGGGAAGTTCACTCAGAGCAGTTTGTAGTTGCTCAGCTTGAATCTCAGCACTGGCTGTGCTACAGCAAATGCCTGAGGTTGTAAAAGGATTCCCCCATGCTGAGGCCCTGGCTGAAACTCAGGATGTCTCTGCAGGCCACATGGACACTCTGGGCTTCAGTTTCTCTCCTTGCATTTCCTGAGGCTGTTTTTCCTTTGGGCAGGGTCTGTTTTTCTCTGGGTGCAAGTAGCATCCCAGTTCCTGAGCATCCTTGGTAGCATTTAGTGGCTGTGAGTTGTGGCCAAGTAAAGGGTCAGTCCTCACCCGCTAACCAGCCCGTTTTCACTCCAAATATGTGTGGCATAAGGCTCTGTGCTTGCACCATGCTGGCATAGGGACCTTTCTCTGTAGTGTTGTGGACTCCTGACTTAATCCTTTTGCAGTTGCTGGCCAAGCAAATGAGCTTGTTCAAGGGGTGAAAGAAGCAGTCCGTGTCCTCAGAGCAGGAATCTCACAGAGGCAGAAGAGCACAGAGGGCCTGATCCAAGCATCCCTGCACAAGTCCAGCTCCTGGCATGGCTCTGGCTGCATGTCTCCACCATTCCAGCTCTGCTTCTCTTCACTGGCTTCACTCCTGTGCCAGTGATCAATGGGCTCTGGTTGGGCTGGAAAACAGCACAAACACAGGCATTTACAAACCCGCTGTCTCTCCAACAGGGCCATAACTCAGGCTTCCCATCACCCTGGGGAACGGGAGGCAGCAGCTCCTGCTTTGGTGGCAGCAGCAGCACCGACATTTTTCCTCTCGTGGTAAATGTATTACCTGGGGGTAATTTACCTGCTTATGTCAAGTTTTAAAAAGAGACAGGCTGGCTGCTGAGCAGCTCCTGACATTGCAGTGTGCATGGCAGTGTGCATGAACACACACGTCTACCCAGAGAAAAGAAATCACCTGAGCTGAAAGGACCTGTTTGCAAATGCCTGCACTGTGGAGTGGCAGTCTCGGCGTGGAGTCCCCGGTGTCAAGCACTGAGGCTGTCATCTTGCCACAGTCATCCCTCCATGGGACCTCCAGGGTCTGCAGCCACCTACTGGTTCTGACGCGGCTGCCCACCCGCACCGGGGCTGCTCGGGGCTGTGTCCGCGTCTCCCGCAGCGCGCTGGGAGGAGCCTCTGCCCGCACCCTTCTCCCGGTGAGCGGATGGGGGCTTGAGGGAGATGCTGGTGCCCTGGAGGCCGCGGCTGAAGACCTTGATGGGACCTAGGGCGGCCGAGATGCTGCTCCGGCCGGCTCGCCCAGCCGCCGTCCTCGCCGGCAGCAGAGGGAGCCGGAGGACCGGGGATGGCAGCACGGGCAGGCAGAGGGAGGCTG